GGGGGGGGGGGGGGGGGGGGGGGGGAGACTGTCGCAGAAGCAGTCACGAGGTGCTAAGAGTCCAGAACCCATGTCTCTCTTCCTCCACATAAGATGGAGGCCTGGCTTCCTGTCTCACATCCCCACTCTCTCCTCCATCTCTTCCAATCCACCTGCCACACGAGTGAATCGCTCCACTTGTTTCCCTGCCTGAGAATGGTATAACAGTGTCTGTGTCACATGTGTGTGGGAATCGGTGCGTCATCTGACAGGATATTGACCCCCAGCTTTCTTCCTTCCCTTGTGAAGGCTGCCATTGCCTTGAACTTTTCCCTGCCTCCACCTGCTGTCCTCTTATCTGGGACCCCCTCCACCTCCCCCACTTGTCGATGCTGACAGAAGGTTGTACCCCAGCTGCTTCCCTGGTTCTAGCAGCTGAGAGATATCCTAATGCACTTCAGAGAAAGAGAGGGATGGTCAGAGCCGGGGGGGGGGTCTCTTGCAGCCAGAGGAAGAGACAACAAGGTCTTAGGGGACCAACTGGACATGGAGGAAGCTTCACACAGGACAGCGCCCCGTCCTGACTGCTATGCTGTTCTGCCTCTGGCCCTGTCTTCCCTCCTCGGCTGGTCCTCACAGCCCGGGCAGAACATAGACAGCACACAGGGGCCTCGTGCACATCCGGGCCTCCCTCCTTCCCAGCCCCTCCCCCATGGGTCAGCCAGAGGCTCTGGCATTGCTGTCTGGCTCTTCTCCCTAGAGGCCGCCCCAACCCCACCCTACCCCTGCTCTGTACCACTGCTTTAGCACATTGGCTTCCTCCCCACCCCACCCCTGCCCAGCGCTTCCCGGCTCCTCTAATGGCTCTAATGGACACCAGAGAACACAGCTCTCCCGAATCAGGACAGCCGCCCCCAGCTCCCACCCTGCCCACTGGCCTGACCTATTGCTGCTGCTGCTGTTGCCGCCGTTGCTGCCGCTGCCACTGCAAGTCCTGGTGCAGGCTGGGAATCCAAGTGCATGCTGGGATTTCCAACCGCTGCTCCATGACTCTTGGGTTTAATTGGAAACAGTTGTGCGCTGGGAGCTCACCATTTCTAACCCCTGGCGTGCGCCCCACGGAAGGACTCCAGGGCGAGAGAGGGGTGCAGAGCAACGAAGAGGAGGAGAGCTTCGTGAAATGTCCACAGAACAAACCCAACTCTGACCGGGAAGTATTATCTACCTACCCAAGCTTGAGGACCCAGTGGGAAGCTCTCTAGCTTCTCCCAACACAGGCCTACTTAACCCTGAGGAGGAGCGGAATCAGATTCCAGAACATGCATAGATTCAGAGGTTCCGTTCTCCACAGGGGGGGAGGGGGTAGACACAGCTGCTGCATGCACCTGCAGAGACCCCGCCGACACGCCACAGGCTCCCGAAGACCAGCAGGGCTTGGCAATGCAGCGTACCGTGAGCCAGGAGACCCCGGTGACTGCAGTCTCTGCATCCCTCCTCCCCAGCAACGGGCTCTGCACGCCACTTATCATCATGTTCCCAGGAAAAGGAGCCCAACCCCAGCAGGAGTTCCAGAGTTCAAATGGCAAGAGGAGAAGAAGAGGGCCCCGGGGCACCTGGTTTCTCGGAAAAGGCACAAGAAGACCCGATTCCGAGAGTCTGTTCTCACCTCGGCTAATTCAAAAGTTGAAGAAGTCCTTCCAGAACACCAGAAGAACAGGAAAGAGGAGACTTCCTGAGAAGAGGAGGCGGGTAGCACCCGCCTGCATCCCAGACTGGTAGGGCCAGGTTCACAAATTACAGCCCCCTGGCTGGGCTGGGCCTCTACAAAAGCCCAGCTCACTGGAGAATAGTCCTGACTCCATTTCTGCGGGACAGGCTAGCGTCTGATTTACTGAAGGCAACGCTGTCGGCAAGCCAGGAGTCTCACGCCAATACCCCACGTGTTATTCCCCATGGATCTGAACTCTGCAGACCACCACCTGGCCTTGACTTCCCCCAGCCCCGGCCTGCCTCACCCTTCCTCGCCCAGCCCTGTGTCCCCAGCCAGTCATAGCTTCTTGACGTAGCTCCTGAGAAGGCACCCAACGCTCGTTCTCACAAAAAGGCATCCTCTGATTCCAGAATTTACCAGCTCTCTTCGAAACTTTGGCTCCAAGACTCCAAACTGGCCGATGAAGAATCACATCTGAAGCCGGGCTACTTTGGGAGGCTGAGATCGGAGGATGGCGGTTCAAAACCAGCCCAGGCAGGAAAGTCCATGAGATTCTCCTCTCCTATGAGCCACCGGAAAACCAGAAGTGGCGCTGTGGCTCCAAGCGGTACAGTGCTAGGTTTGAGCAAAAGAACTCGAGGACAGCGCCCAGGACCCAAGTTCAAGCCCCACGACCGCCATCACCAACACCAATACATCTGGGTCCTTGAGTCTGCATTCCAAGATGGCGGTGGTGATGCAGCAGCAGCAGCAGCAGCAGCAGCAGCAAAGGTCCACAGGAAAACCAGCCTGTCCCCTCCCCGGGCCCAGGAGAGATCAGAGCTGGCCACCCACAAGGCGCCCACCAGGCTGGCGGCTGGCGGGGAGCTAATGGCGGCCCTTGGTTTCTTGCAGACGTGGATGAATGCCTGTCAAGCCCTTGTGTGAATGGAGCCACCTGTGTGGACGCCGGCGCCTCTTTCACATGCTTATGCCTTCCCAGCTACCGAGGGGACCGGTGTGAGATCGGTACGGCCCGGCCGGCTTCAGCTAATGTCACTAACACGTGCGCCCCGTCCCCCCGCCGCCCCTCCCTTCTAGACGCACGCAGGCGCAGGCGCTCGGCCCCCCGCTGGGCCCCAGGTCCATCCAGACAGCCCCCCAGGGGCCCCCGGTGTGAGGTCTGCCCCCACGGAGTTCCACTCTCCATCCTGCTCCTCCCCTTACCACCCTTCCTCTTGGGCACCGGCTGACTACAGGAGAGACTCACCGGCTCGGCCACTGTGAGAGATGGGGCCCTGGGAAATCTCTAAACCGCTAACCTCCTCTGGGACGGGGCTTTCCGGTGCCACCAAGCCGGGTGTGTGCGTGTGGCTCCGGGCGCAGCCGGTTTTGTGTGTCTGTCTGGATGAAGCTGGGTCAGGAACATGGCCTGCCTGCCACATGGCTTGGGAGGCCTTGGTGGCCCTTCCGTGGCCCCTCCAGGGGCGCCCTCCCCCTTCTCCTGGGGCCAGGACCGCTGCGGGCCACCTTCCCTCCCCGTCACCTGCCTCGCAGCCCAGCGGCCTCTCCCCGACAGCCAGGCGGGCGCAGCACCCTGTGGCAGGGGTGAAGCTGTCCCCCGCTGCCAGGGCCTCGGGCCCCGCGGCTGGGCCTGTCAGGGACGAGCCTGCGGACCTGTCGCCGTGGCAACAGCCTGCGGGGGGGCAGGGGGAGACACTTGCGTGTTGGCCCACACACAACCCCAGCGTCAGGGGCTCGAAGCCCTGTTCAGCCAACTGGACTCTCAGAAAGTTCCAGAAAGCACAGCTGAGACTCCCAGGAAAGCTAAGCTCCCTTTGTGCGTGGACAATGTGGGGAGAGAGTTAGAGCACACATCTCTGGCGAAGGGTCTTCAGGATTCTAGAAGGAAAGGCCTGCACCCCCCATCCCCTCCCCCGGTCCCTTGTAGCCCACCAACCCCCACCCCACCCCCTGTGAGACCCCATGCAACTAGTGTTCGGGGGAGGGGGGGATCTCGGCTGGGAGTAGCTACCAGGGCCTTCCTCCCACAGTGCCAAAGCTACAGGGGGGTACGGGGTGGGAAGATCTAGAAAGATCTGAAGTAGTCTGGAAAGGTCTGGAATGTCCAGGCTCTGGGAGAATCAGCAGGATGGGGGAGGGGAGGGGGCCGTACAGACTCCGCACCCCTACAGAGCAGAGAGAGAAAGAGAGGGAGAGAGGACGGTGCCACAGCTACCCGGCTGGCTCTTGGCTGCCAGCAGCACGTGGCCATACGTCCGCTCCCGTCACGCCGCGGCCTCCTTCTTGAGGCTCCAGCCTCCCTGCAGGCCTGTCTGTCCCCAGTCCCCGCGTGGCCCCCGCTGTGGCCCGGCCTGCCCAGTGAACCCAGCCCCCATGGGCCCTGGCGTTGGCCCGGGCCCCCCCCCAGACTTGTGCTTCGCCCCTTGGGGAGGGCACAGGCGGCCACGGCGGAGGCCCGGCCTCCTGTCTTCCCTCTTCTCTCCTCTCAACCTGGCCACACGCCCACCCACAGGGGCCGGGGCTTCGTTCCTGGGACAGCCAGACTATGGGGGGCTCACCCAGGGGTGGGGCTGCCGTTCACAGCCCCTCCCTGAACCCCAGAGAGTACTGCCTGGAGGCCCGAGGGGAGAGGGGGCCTTGGACCCCCCCCCCGTCCAGAGCTGTGCCAACCGCTAGCTTCCATCGTGGAAACAGGAGTCCTGACTTTTATCACCTGCCCACCTGCCGGGTCCCACAGTGTGCTGGCCCTGAGTTAGGAGGCGGTGCCCGTGAGTGAGCTGTCCCCAGCATGTCCCCGCCGCTGCCCCCACCCTACCCCGGGGTCTGCCCCTTCTGCAGATGACAGGCGGCCTCACAAAGTCAGAAGCTCCTCCCCCTCAACCAGTCTGCCAATCGAAAGACCAGATGGCAGACCTCCCACAGGGTCCCAGCTCCAGCCTGGAGCCCCCAGCCTTCCCAGGACCCCGTGCGGATGGAGCTGTGGTTTCAAGGATCCGTGGGCAGATTTCATTCCCGGCCCTGCCCGGCCTGCCACAGACACAGCTCCCCTCCTCCCAGATGCCACAATCACTGAGCCTCGTTCGGCCTTGGGTCTCAACGCTTCCCGCCAGTCCTGCTGTGCTCTGCCAGCCTCCCGGGCAGGCATGGCAGGAGGAAGGCTGCATCCGGGTCCCTGTCATTTCCTAGACACCAACAGGAAACGGAAGTTCCCAGGGCCAGGCTTCACTGCCTTTGGAAACAGGCCTCAGGCTCAGGCCTGTCATCCTAGCTACTCAGGAGGCTGAGATCTGACGATCACGGTTCAAAGCCAGCCCAGGCAGGAAAGTCCGTGAGAGTCTTATCATCTCCAATTCACCATCAAAAAAAGCCAGAAGGAGAGCTAGCTATGGCTCAAGTGGTAGAACACCAACTTTAAGCAAAATAAAAGCTCAGGGACAGCGCCCAGACACTCTGCTTACCTGTCCCTCATCTCCAGAGCATGGCATTTGCAGAGGGCTGAGGGGACCCCTCCCCCAGCCGGCCTCCGGCCCCCAATCCGAGCCCCTGCCCTGTGTTACAGACCAGGAGGTGTGTGAGGAAGGCTGGACCAAGTTCCAAGGTCACTGCTACCGCCACTTCCCCGACCGCGAGACCTGGGTGGATGCGGAGAGGCGGTGTCGCGAGCTGCAGGCTCACCTGAGCAGCGTGCTCACTCAGGAGGAGCAGGAGTTCGTCAACAGTGAGTGTGGCCGCGGGGCGGGGGGGGGGGGGCTGAGGCTGCTGAACGGGCACAATCAGCAGACTGGAGCTGGGTGTGGTGGCTCTCGTCTGTAATCCCAACCACTCGGGAGGCTGAGATCTGGAGGAGCCTGGTTCAAAACCAACGTGGGCAAGAAATATGGCAGACCAGAAGTAGAGGTGTGTCTCAGGTGGTAGAGCACCAGCCTTGCTCCATGCTGGAGTGCTTACCTAGTATGCCCAAAGCCCTGGTTTCCAGCATTATGAGAAAAAATGAAATTAGCAGATTAAAGCCAGGCACTGGTGGCTCATGCCTGTAATCCTAGCTACTCAGGGGGCTAAAATCTGAGGATCACAGGCAGGAAAGCACCGGAGACTCTTATCTCCAATACACGACTCAGAAAAAGCCAGAAGTGGTGCTGTGGCTCAAGTGGTAGCACGCTAAGCCTTTAGCAGAAGCAGCTTGGGGACAGTGCCCAGGCCCTGAGTTCAAGGCCCAGGAGTGGAAAAAAAGAAAAACAGATTGGACCCAGAAAGGCCGCAGGGCCAGGGCGCAGGTGTGGAGAGCTCAGCCCCAGGCTTGGAGTTCCGAAGAAAAGCTAGAGTCTTCAGGGCCAGGGGTCATGGCAGCTCGAGGCGGGGGCACACCACCCCCTTCCCCTCGATCCCCACATTTCCAACGGCCTCCCTCACCCCCCAGGAGTCCAACACCAACCCCCACTGCCTTCCCTCTGCAGAAAACGCCCAGGACTACCAGTGGGTCGGCCTGAATGACAGGACCATTGAAGGGGACTTCCGCTGGTCAGATGGACACCCCCTGGTGAGTTCAGTGGCCACCCAGAGGAGAGGGAGGGGGGAGCACGCCCCCCTTTCCCCCAGCCACACACATTCAGACCTGGCAAAATGCTTACTAAGCCGGGTGGCTGTGGGGAGGGAGCCCAGATGGCAGGGAAGAAAATGGGGTCTCACCCGCAGCATCCTCCAGGTCCACAGGGCAGACAGGTGCAAAGCAAAATGGACGGCGGGTGCCTGGTGCACGCGGCACGGGGTGGATTCCCGCCCGGGATCCCAGCTCCCGGCAGCCCGGGGTGTGCAGCCAGCTTTCCCCCTAGAACCCACATTCTACCAACCCTCCCCCCCCCCGCCCCGCCGGCAGCCTTCACGCTAGCCGGCCCGCCCCTCCTCACCCCTTCCCCTCTGCCGCCCCCAGCAATTCGAGAAGTGGCGTCCCAACCAGCCGGACAACTTCTTCGCCGCGGGCGAGGACTGCGTGGTGATGATCTGGCACGAGGCGGGCGAGTGGAATGACGTGCCCTGCAACTACCACCTGCCCTTCACCTGCAAGAAGGGCACGGGTGAGCGGCTCCCAGGGAGGCCATCTGGGCAGAGGCCCCGTTCTGCGGCTTCCAGAACCCTAGCCCCCCAGTACTCGCGGCCTGGAGACCCCCAGAACCCTAGCCCCCAGTATCTGCGGCCCGGAGACCCCCAGCGGTTCCTGGGGTGGGGGGCCTCTCTCGCTCTGGGGTTTTTTTTGGGGGGGTCAGTCGTGGGGCCTGAACTCTGGGCCTGGGCGCTGTCCCTCAGCTCTTCAGCTCAAGGCCAGTGCTCTACCTCTTGAGCCACAGCGCCACTTCTACTTTTCTGGTGGCTCATGGGAGATAAGAGTCTCATGGACTTTCCTGCCCCAGGCTGACTTTGAATCATGATCCTCAGACCTCAGCCTCCTGAGTAGCTAGAGTTACAGGCGTGAGCACCGGTGCTCGGCTCGTCTCCAGATTCTTAGCCCTGGGTTTGCCCCCGGCAGTCAGAGCTCAGCGGGGCCCCAGCCCGCCCGGGTGGTCCAGGCCCCTCTCCATTGCTGTCTGCCCCCCAGTGGCCTGCGGTGCGCCCCCCGCGGTGGAACATGCCAGGACCCTGGGCCAGAAGAGAGACCGGTACGAGATCAACTCCTTGGTGCGGTACCAGTGCACCGACGGCTTCGTCCAGCGCCACGTGCCCACCATCCGCTGCCAGCCCAGCGGGTACTGGGAGGAGCCGCGTGTCACCTGCACAGACAGTGAGCACCGGCCCCGGGGGTGGCGCCTGTCCCCGGGGAACCATGGCAGTGGCTGCGTGCCCACAGGAGCCCCCACCCCGTGCCATCCTGGGGTCACGGAGGGGGGAGGAGGCGGCACAAGTCCCCAGCCTGCAGCCACTTGGTCTGAGCAGGTTCCGGATTCAAAGACAAGTCCAAGAGGGGAGGGCCCCCACTTCCCCACGATTCACCCCAATTTCTCCCCCCCCCCCGCTTCATCCCAGCCACCACCTACAAGAGCAAACGGCAGAAGCGGAGCTGGCGGCCGACAGCCCGGCACAGCCTGCCCAGGGCAGCGCACTGAGAGAAGCTTCCAGAACATTGTCGTACCCAGGATGCTGAGCCCAGGGGCCTCCCCCACCCAGACAGCATCCTCTCCCGGTTGCTTCTTGTCTTATAAGGAATCCCATTAAAGAAGGAAACACGAAATCCGACATCGCGTATGCCCACCCCACCGCCATGCCCCCCAAAACTGCATCTAATTTGTCCCCCCACCAAAAGCCAAAGCCAAGCAAATTCACTGTTAACCCAGAGACTGGGGTGAGAGAAATTCTGCAGTCTGTCCATCCGTCCATCCGCCCACCGTGCCTTTCCAAGAACCAGCACAGGGACAGGAGAGCAGGGAGGGGTTAAGTTAAATAAAGAAGATTATTTTTTTGTTCCCGGACTTCACCCCAGCCCCATTGGGTCGGTCTTTGTTTGCCCGCCCCCCCACCCCCCACCCCCCCCCCCCCTGGGAGAGCGAGGGGGAAGGGGAGGGGTCCAGGGGAGAGGGCGGGGCAAAACCCACCAGACTCCAGGGGACCCCAGTTGAATGTGCTAGACAAAGGGAACCAGTTGGGCCGCACGGGGCCCATGGCAGGCCAGGCCTGGGGCGGGCGGGGGCCGCTGGCTGGCAGCCGTCAGAGGGGTGTGGGCCGCCCGGGGGGGTCCTCCCTCGGAGCCCCTATTCCAGCTCCTGCCACCTTGGAGGGGTCTCCCCTCCCTCCCTCCCTGCCTCCCTCCCTCCCTCCCTCTCTCAGCAGGGCTGGGTAAGGCCACTTCCTCCCCGGGGAGGTCTCCACCCCCCTTCCCCGGGACAGTGCAGGCACCAGTGTTCCATGCACCTATTTATATTTTTGGAAAACTAAAGATTATGATAATTATAAATAATAAAGACATTGGAGGAGATCTCTCTCTTTTTCTTTTTTTTTTTTTTAAGGAAAAGAACACCATGACCTGGCTCCTCCCCGGGGGGGGGGGGGACACATGGTTTTGATCAGAGCACCCAGCCTGGGGTGTGACTCCTGTGGGCTCTGCTGTGTGTGGCGTACGCTACAGCGTCGGAGGCCTGAGCCCGTGAGTCCGTGCGCAAGTGTGTGCAATCACACGTGTTGGTGCCTGTGTATAAGTCAAGGAGGGGGAGTGCAAAGCTGGATTTACAAGTGAGCCGGCTGTCCACAAGAGCTGGGTGCGGTAGTGCATGCCTGGAATCCCAGAACTTGGGAGCTTGAGACCCGAGTGGAGCTTCACCGCGAGACCCCGTCTCAAAAGCGCAACAGAAGCAACGGAGAGAGCTCTCCGACCACCACCCACCTGGCTCGCCCACCTGAGAGGAGGCAGAGGGTAAACGGAGGCCAAAGCGGGGAAGTCGGAAAGACAAGGCGCTGAGAGCAAGGAGCCCTGCTTAGTCCTGTTGGAGGCCAAGGGGTTCTCCCGCCTCCCATGACACCGCGCTGGGCTTTGCACACGCGCACACACTCTTACACGCGGGTGGCTCAGCTTCCCAGCACTGACCAGGCCGTCCGTGAAGCCAGGGACGGCGGCTGAGGGAGACAGAGGCGGACGGAGGCCGGGCTGGGGGAAGAGACGCAGCAACGTTTATTTCCAGGAAAGACACACACGCGCCAGGCCGCACCCCAAACGGGACAACAAAACCCAGACTCCCCAGGAGCAGAAGAGGAGGAGGGGAGGGCCGGGCTCACCCCCACGCCTCACCCCTGCGGGCAGCGTCGCGCACAGCACGGAGCAGCCCTCTCGGAGCCTCTGGGCACTGGTGGCCCGCGCCAGTCCTCCTAGCTACTCAGGAGGCCGAGAGCGGAGGATCGCAATGCAGTTGAAGGCCCGGCTGGGGCAGGAGAGTCTGTGAGAGTCTCGTCTCCGTGACCCACCAGAAAGCGGGCAGTGGCGCTATGGTACAGCGCTCGCCTTGAGCACAAAAGTCCAGGCCCTGGGTTCAAGCCCACGCGCGCACAAACAAAAGGGAAGGCGCCTGGCCAGCTTGGCCACAGTGGACACGGCAGGACCGGCCCTGAGGGTGCGGGAAGCCGAAGCTCTGGACCCCAGGCTCGGGAGCCCGCAGTCGGGGCAGGGTGAGCGACGGGGTCGTCTGCCAGCCGGCCCGCAGTACCGTCGTCCAGGCCGCCGGACGTCCAAGAGGCAAAGAGCTGGCCCACCCTGTCTGTGCAGGCGCCCATCTTCCCGGCAGGCCTCCCTGGCCTCCGTCAGGGTCAGCGTTCTGGGGTGCTCCAGGTAGTACACCCGCCCTGAGGGAATGTGGGGTGTACGGTGGGGGCAGCCGGAGCAGGCCGGGCCTGCACGATGCCTGTGCCAGGCAGGCCATGACGGCTGAGACCAGAGAGCCACCCCGCGGTGGACATCTACAGCGACTATGGGGGGGTAACCTTCCCTTAGGGTAACACCCCAGTTACCACAAGAGGCAAATTAGCTCTAGAGAAAGAACATTAAACCGACCCCCTCTCCAGTCACAGGCTGGGAGATGCTATCCCCTCTCTAGTACCTGCCACAGCCCCTCCTCCCGGAGGGTGATGAATGGTCTGGGGTTCCCCCTAGGGGTGGAATCACTCCAGGCCGGTCCCCACCAAACCGAGGGCCACCAGGGCCGCAGGACTCACCCCTGAGGGCCGGGGCGAAGCAGAAGACGTCGAAGTGGTGCAGGCGTCCCTAGCTGCGCAAGCCGGGGGCCAGGCCCGGGCCCCCGCAGGGCGGCCAGGACAGCATGATGGGGTACTGCGTGGGCGCCTCCCACAGCCAGCCCATGCTGCACCCGTCCAGCCCCGCCTCCCAGGCCCAGAAGAGCTGCTGGAAGGAAGCCACCCTGGCAGACCTCCTGGGCCTCGAGGAACGTGAGCCGGTAGCGCCCCCGTGAGGACTGGCAGGGAAAGACCACGCCTGGAAGGGAGGCAGGAGGGCGGTGGAGGGTGGGGGGGGGAGAGGCCTGTCTACCACTGGTCTGTTGCCTGCAGGGGCCCTGCAGGCTCTGAGCCTGCGTCCGGGAGCCAGGCCCTGGCTTGTTAAGATAGTTAGGCCAGTCAGCAGGTGTCCCAGCCTGGCGAACTCACAGCGCAGCTGCAGAACCTGGGCAAAGGGCAGGCGATTGTCTCCAAGAGCCAGCACCTGCCTCCCAGGTCCTCAGCCAACAACTGAGACGGGGCCTGAGACCTAGGACCCCCCTGCCCCCCCCCACTCCTGCAAAGGGCTCCCGCCAGCCCCTCCCCACCACTCAAGGCCTCCTCCAGACCCAGGAACTCCAGGCAGACTGGCACTTCCTTCCTGCGGGCCCAGCGCAACCCCCCATGCTCCCCTCACCCCACCCCCCAATCGGCAGGAAATTCAGTTTGGCTTTTTCGAACCGTTCTGGAATTTTCCTCTTTCTGGGCTGGTGTTTGAATTTCCAGGTTGACTGAATGGGTCCAGACTGATGGGATTGCCAGACCCACCGGCCGGAGCTGCGCTCGTGTGGTTACTAATGTGGTCGTTTCTTAGGAAAATGCAATGGTTTTCCATGGGAGACGCCCAGCGTCAGGGAAAGACAGAGCTGTGGGGGGAAGGGAGGTAGGGGGGGCACAGGCAGCGGCCTCCCCCCTCCCTCCCCCCTCCTCCCTCCTGGCGGCCCAGTCTGGTGCTCAACCATTGGAGCCATGTCCCCAGCTACTTTTTTGTTTTAATCTTTTTTTAAGTACAGTCTTACATGTCAGCCTTCAACCCTTATCCTCCTACCTATGACCTCCCAGCTCCTGGATAACTAGGACTAGAACCGTGGAGCCGCCATGCCCAGCTAGCGGGTGGAGATGGGAGTCTTGCTAATGTTTTGCCTGAGCTGGCCTCACACGGTGATCCTCCCCACCCAGTAGCTGGGACCACAGACCCAAGCCACCACCCCTGGCCGGGTCTGGGTCTTCCCTCCGGGCCTCTCCTCACCCCGTGCCCGGTCAGGGCCTCACGGCGAAGCTCCAGCTCCAGCAGGCCACTCTGGCCCTCCAGCCCGTCCGTGGCCTCACCGCGGTAGCGCCCCGAGTCCTCCCGGGGCTCCAGAGAGACCTCCCGCACCGCGTCCTGCCACAGTCCTGCTCCGCCTTGGTAGGCCCCGAAGGAGTGCTGCCTGTGGCCGGTGGCAGCCAGCACATCGTGCTCAGAGGCCCGGGGCTCCGACAGCTCCCACCATTTGACACGCACGGGCCTGGCTCGTAGCAATAACGGCAGTGCAGGGTCACCCGGGCCCCTGGATGGGTGAACAGGGTCCCCTCAGGGGTCTCCACTACTGAAGAGGCCTGAGGGAGAGGCGGGGGAACAGGTGGGGGCTGCTGCACAGGGTCGCATCTGCAAGGCCCTCCCAAGCCCTAGCCCGAGGCCCAGGTGCTGTGCCCCGCCCAGGTGCAGGGAGAGGTGACAGCTGTTCCCCAGGGACGCTGCTCGGGTCTCTGTATGCCTGGATCAGTGTATGTGGGAACCTGCCCAGGTTACCCTCCCCTTCCCCCCCCCCGCCCTGGGGGCGGCCTCTACCATTCCTACTGGCCTCACCACACACTCTGCTCACCTGCCAGGGCCCACGGAGGCCGGCCGGCCTCCCAACAAGAGCCACCAATGGCAGGACCAGGAGACACCGAGCACTCTCTTAACGCCTGCCACGGGCTCACGGGCTCTGGATCTGTACATCTCCTGCCCAACGCCACCCAGCTGGTGGCGGGGTTGACCTTCAGGTCCACGTTATGTGGCTGTGGAACGTGTCACTGAAGCCTGTCTTTAAGTAGCGGGGTGGGAGCTGGGCACCCATGGCTCACGCCTGTAATCCTAGCTGCTCAGGAGGCTGAGATCTGAGGATCACAGTTCAAAGCCAGCCCAGGCAGGAAAGTCCGTGAAACTCTTATCTCCAATAAACCACCAGAAAGCTGGAAGTGGCACTGTAGCTCAAGTGGTAGAGCACTCACCTTGAGCTGAAGAGCTGAGAGACAGCGCCCAGGCCCAGAGTTCAGGCCCCACGACCCACAAAAAAAAAAAAAGGAGAATGTGGGGGCCGGGCACCCATGGCTCACGCCTGTCATCCTGGCTGCTCAGGAGGCTGAGATCTGAGGATCTCAGTTCCAAGCCAGCCCAGGCAGGAAAGCCTGTGAGACCCTCATCTCCACTCCTAGAAAACGTTGGAAGTGGCACTTTGGCTGCAAGTGGTATAGAGCGCTAGTCTTGAGCAGAAGAGTTCACGAACAGCGCCCAGGCCCTGAGTTCAAGCCCTACGACTGATAACAGAAAGGAAAAGAGGCAGAGTGTGGAGAAAAGCTTAAAAAAGTCGAAAGCTGCGGGCTGGGAAGGTGGCTCAGTGGTAGAGCGCTTGCCTTGCATGCCTGAGGCCCTGGGTTCGATTCCTCGGTACCACATAAGCAGAAAAAGCTGCAAGTGGCGCTGTGGCTCAAGTGGTAGAGTGCTAGCCTTGAGCTGAAGAGCTGAGGGACAGTGTCCAGGCCCGGAGTTCAGGCCTCATGACCGGACCCAAAAAAAAGTCTTAAGCCATCCGCAGGGGACCCTGGGCCCCCACATCTCAAGGCAAGGCCCAGATAGGGAAGGGGCCGCTGCCCCCACCCCAGCCCAGACCCCACACCTCACAGCAGGAGGCCGGGACTCACCGGCGCCAGGGCTGCCGCCCAGGTCCCAGCCTGGGGTGCCGCTGTAGCAGAAGCCATTGTGGAAGGACAAGCCGGAGGCGCAGGCCTGTGGGGACAGCGGCAGGGGCAGCAGCACCCGACAGGCAGGCGACTGTGTCACGGCCAAGTCGGAATCCTGGGAAGGCGGACTCCCCGGAGGAATTAACCACGGAGGAGAGGAAAACGCAGCAGGTTTGACGGGGAGAGGTCTCGAGACCAGACTGGATTGGAAAAAATAGCAGGTGCATTGTGTGTGTGTCAAAATAAGTCCCGCCCTGAGAAACGTGTGCGTTCCAGAAGTGTCTGCGGGGAGGGTCGAGAGGTGGAACTTGCTTTTTACCTAACGGGACGCGTAGTTCTCAAGTCAAGGTCAAAATTTCAGCCAGGTGCCGTGCTGTGCATCTTTAATCCCAGCTACACAGGTGTTAGCGGGAGGAGGATCTAGAGGCCAAGGCCGCCAGGGCCGAGGGAGTTAGCCAGACACTATCTCAAAAACAAAACACAAGCTGGAGGCAGGTGGCTCACGCCAAAAGTTGTAGCTTCTCGGGGGGCTGAGGTGTGAGGATGGCACTTCAAAGCCAGCCAAAGCAGAAAAATCTGAGAGTGTTATTTCCAATTCACCACCAGAAAGGCAGAAAGGGAGCTGTGATCTGAGTGGTAGAGCACTGGCCTTGAGCAAAAAACAAAATAATAATAATAATGTAAAAGCAGCACCTAGGCCCTGAGTTCAAACCCTAAGACGCGCACACACACACACACACCTACCTGAGCCAGGCTGGGGGTGTGCATGGTAATGTTTGTACCGAGCATGTGCAAAGCCCTGATTCCTCCCCAATGCCCAGGTGAAAATCAGTGTTCCACTTGCTGGGACAGGTGCTCTACCCCTTGAGCCACATCCCGAGGATTTTCTGCTATCTTTTTTTTTTTCATGATAAGTACTACTTGTATCTTTTCTATTACAGACATTCTATACTTCTTTTTAGAAGCATAAAAGCTACAGAGAAATATACAAAAATATTATAAACAGCCAGGCACTGGTGGCTCACGCCTGTAATCCTAGCTACTCAGGAGGCTGAGATCTGAGGATCGTGGTTCAAAGCCAGCCCAGGCAGGAAAGACCGTGAGACTCCTATCTCCAATAAACCACCAGAAAACCGGAAGTGGCGCTGTAGCTCAAGTGGTAGAGTGCTCACCTTGAGCTGAAGAGCTGAGGGACAGCGCCCAGGCCCAGAGTTCAAGCCCCACGACCGACAAAAAAAAAAAATTATAAACATAGTGTTAGCACCTTTAACTCACTTGCTTTCTATCTTATGGTTGTTTTTTTGTCGGTCATGGGGCTTGAACTCTGTGCTAGCACTCTACCACTTGAGCCACAGCGCCACTTCTGGCTTTTTCTGCTTATGTGGTGCTGAGGAATGGAACCCAGGGCCTCATGCACGCGAGGCAAGCGCTCTACCGCTGAGCCACCTGCCCAGCCCCTCTATCTTATTTTTAAACAGTGGACAAAGGTGTGTCGCCCTCCTGGTGGACCCCTTAGGACAGAAGCAGGCCCAGTAGACACCTCTTCACAGCTGGGGAAACTGAGGCAAGGACATTGCCTCCCCACCAGGCAAGCGCTGGGCTGGGGGCAAGGGAGGGGAGGGCCACACGCGGCGCAAAGCCCCCGCACCCGCGGGCACCCGTGTCTCGCTAGGACAAGGACTCGGCGTGGCTGCCAGGAGCTCCACGGGGTCACGGCCAGCAGGGTCACCGAATCCCACACCCCGTATGGCTCATGCCCCAACTCGGTGCCCTGGGTCCCTCCACCTGGCCCAGGAGACCCCCGAGCAGTAAGGCGGGACTGTCAGACCCTGGACCCCCGGCCCCAGCTGTGTACCCAGCACCCCGCCAGCTCCTTGGCTCCCCACGGGGGTCTTGCATGGCGGGAGGAAGCACACGCTCCCCCCTGAACCCCCCCCCCGCTCCCCCGGCCCCTTAAAGGAACACACACCTCTCCCACCAGGGCAGCGTTGGCAGTCAGTGCCACCCCCAGACCCTGCCCTGCCCTGCCTGCAGCCACATCTGGGGGGCGGAGTTGAGGGGAGGAGTGAGGACTGGGGTCCCCGAGCTCGGGCCCTCATGCAGGGCTCTCCACAGCCACTTCTTGGGGACCGGGGCCTCTCTTTGGCAGGAGGGTGGACAGCGACCCGCTGGTCTCTCAGAAGAGTAACTCATGGGAGGCCCTCAGCCTGTGTTGGGGGCAAGGTCAAGGGTCACGAGGCGCAGGGCATCCTCCTCACCCCTCCTCCAGACAGTCGTGCCCGTCTGTCTGTCTGTCTCTCTGGCTATTCGTCACACAGCCAGGAGCCAAGCAGAGCTGACCTTCAGTGGACTACGGGGGGGGGACCTACCAGAGGGCCCGAGGCCTCTCTGCGGGGAGCCGCGCTGACCGCCCTGGGCCAGTCTATGCCGGCACAGATGATGGCGTTAATCAGCCAGGACGCCAGCCGGGGCTTGGGCCGATGTCTGTGTCCCTTCTGTGGAAGGGGCTGGCTAGTGTCCCTCTGTGGAACTGATCTTATCATTTACACTCTCCGGGAGTTTCAGGACATTGCTCCAAGTTGCTCAGAGACAAGATTTGAACTCGGGTTGTCTGACTTGAGGCTTGGAGCTCCTAATCACCCCAACATTCTGAAACCAGGAGCAAAGAGTCTGGCCGGGCACCAGGGGCTCACGCCTGCAACCCTAGCTATTCAGGAGGCTGAGATTCGAGGATCCTGGTTCAAAACCAGTTTTGGGGGTGGGGGGGGGAGAGGGGAGGAGGAAAGTCTAAGAGTTTCATCTCCGATGAACCAGTAAGTGGTGCTGTGGCTCAGAGTAGCAGAAACACTAGTCTTGAGCAAAAGAGCTCAGGGACAAAGCGCAGGCCCTGAGTTCAAGCCCCACAACCGACCCAAAAAATACATGGGCAGAGGTGCAGGTGGCAGCGAGGTCCACGCTAGCCCCGGACTTAGGTCAGGAAAAGCAAACCTGGGGGTGATGGACCAAGATGAGGGGATTCACGCCAGGGACCAAACACTTCTGGCTTTGAGGCAGCAGCAGGGAGCCTGGGCGGCCTGGCGTGGCCAGCCCCCGGGTTCCTGGGGCCTGTGATCCCCGCCCACCAAAACACCCTGGGAGACAAACCGGGGAGCCGGTGACGGGAGACTCAGGACTCCAGGTCTGGCCAGCCTCAGTGAACTGATGGGGGGGGCAGCCGAGAGGCATGCTGGGAAGGATGCTGGTCCCCAAGGGGGCTAGAGCAGGGGCGGGGCTGGGGTGGGAGGGAGGAACAAGCGTCCCAGGAGGGAGGGAGGCCCCTGGGTGAGTGGCCGCCTGCGTGGCTCCTTCCGGCTGCTGCCTCCAGCCCTGCCCAGCGGGGCACTGGCGCCAGGCGCTGGCCGAGGACGCCCGCCGCCCTTCCACCGCCCGTGTGCCTCAGTTTCATCGGGGTCCAACCTGAAGATGGGGTGTTTTCATTCACCCCTTTCCCAGCCCGCGAGTGTCCCCTCAAGCCACCGCCACGGGGGCAGGGAGCCGGCCGGGGTGCCCGCCAGGGAACCCCTGCCCCCCAGCCCTGCACCCTGCCCGCCTCCTCCAGCCAGCAGCAGCCCGCTCTGCCCGCCAAGGGGCCCCACGGCCGGGCAGGCACCGGGAGCCAGACCCCATTTCCACGCGCGCATGTACACACATGCACACACACACGCCAGGCCCCTGGCGTGAACACGCCCCAGTGCTTGGTTTCTTCAGAGCCTGCGGCATGGGGCCCCCGGGGTCCTTGGGGCACCCCGCGCCCGGTGGGGGCAGCTGCAGGCCCGGGAGGTGAGTCAGGGGCTTTGCCAGCCAAGAAGGAGCGCGCACGGCTCAGGAGGGTAGAAATGTATTTCCAGAAATGCCCACGGGCCCTGCGGTGTGCAGCCAGCAGCGCTGGGCTGCCAGTCCCGGGGCATCGCCTTGGCCCCCAGAGACCCCCGCCCGCCCCGGGGCAGGGCCACGCAGCCAGGCCGGCCACCCAGGACCGGGGACATCGTGTGCAGAGAAGCCGGGGAGACCCGAGGCCCCCCGAGAGCCAGGCCAGGAGCTGGGGCGGGGCGGGAGGGACAGGCACCCCTCCTTGTCGGTGCCAGGCCCGCCCTTCTCCCGGGTTCCTGAGAAAATGGATGGCAGGGGGCTGGTGTAGGCATTTGTCAGGGTGGGCAGGAGAGAGAAGGAGGGAGGAAGGGAGGGAGGGAAGGCAAGGTCCCCCCCTCTCCAGACCCCAGCCCCTGCAGTTACAGGAGGGCTGGGCAGGCAGCAGGCCACACAACTCAGCAGGGCTGGGAGAGGACAGTCAGCAAGACCCCATCTCAACAAACAGGTCAGGTTTGGCTTCACACCCCTCCTGCGGCCGCTAGCAGCCCAGCAGCTCCAGGCGCAGGGTGATCCGGTTATGCCAGGCCACGGGCAGGACCCGCACGTAGCGGGCCGTGAAGGGCGTCTCCAACACGTTCTTCTTGTGGGAGTAGTTGTCCAAGTTGCCAGGGAAGACCTGGGGGGGGGGGAACGGGTGGTGTCAGGCGAGTCCGGGCACCCCCGGCCCCGCCCCCGGGCACCCCGACACGCCCACCTTGCTCTCCGTGGCCCCGGCCTCCCTGTACTCGGTCCAGACCTCGCCGTCATCACTGTAGGCCACCTTGTAGGCGGCCACGTACTGGATGTGGCCGAAGTCACGGGCCCCCTGGGTGACGATGCCCGTCACCTGCTTCTGGGAGCCCAGGTCCACCTGTGGGGGAAACAGACACGCCGTCGGTCGCTGCGGGAAGCCGGGGGGCCGCCCTGGGCCTCAGTGTTCCTCATCTGCAAAGTGGGCGTAAAGCTGCTGCGATCCCAGCACTGGAGAGGCTGGGGAAGGAGGACTGCGGGCCAGAGGCCAGCCTGTGCACACAGGGAGGCTTCCCCTGCAAAACGCAAGGGCTGGGGCAGGCTGGGAAGGCGGCTCAGTGGTAGAGCGCTAGCCCTGCACGCACAAGGCCCTGGGTTCAATTCCTCAGCACCACATGAGCAAAAAGAAAAAAGCCGGAAGTGGCGCTGTGGTTCAAGTGGTAGAGCGCTAGCCTTGAGCTGAGGAGCTGAGGGACAGCGCCCAGGCCCAGAGTTCACGGCACGTACACACAGCTGAGCAAGTGGGAAGAGGAGACAGTCATGGAGAACACGGCTCTTTCTGAGGGCTCCTGGGGTCCGGCAGCCCCCCCCGCCCCCCCCAGGCCCGGCCCGTGCCCGGCCGGCTCCAGCACTACCCACCTGCAACCACTCGTTGGCACCGTTGCCCTGGGCGGTCCAGGCGTTGATCTTGCCCTGCCGGTCCAGCCGCGCGTAGAAGGGGTACCAGCCGAAGGCGCGCAGGCCCAGCGTCTTGTAGCTGCTGGAGGCCGTGAGCTGCCTGTCCGGGATGCTGCCGTCCTTCAGGCCCAGCGGTCCCGAGCACCCTGCTGCCAGAGAGACCGTCCGGCCCCGCTCCCCGCCCCCACCCCGCCCCGACACCTTCCTTGACTGCTGAGGCTTGAACTCGGGGCCTCACGCCCTCGACTCTTTTGCTCCTGGCTGCTGCTCTGCCACGCCAGCCACGCCTCCAGTTCTGGCTTTTTGCAGCTTATCTGGAAATAAGCGTCTGGCAGATCTGTCTGCCCAGGCTGACTCTAAACCACAAGCCTTGGATCTCAGCCTCCTGAGCACCTAACCACCACCGATACTCCTGTGGACACTCCCCCCAGCCCCCCACCCATGCTCAAGAAAACCTCACTCCTGACCTTATCTGAACACGCAGGACTGTTGACATCACAAATCCCAGACAGGACAAGACAGACATTCCAAAGAGGATCTTACACTCAGGTGTGTAAAAACCGTAACCCCCCAGCATGCCGGCCCCCCTGCGTTCTCCGACCCCTGCGGTGTAAGCAGAGCCTCTCTGCAGCCATGACCAAAGCCTGCCCCGCCCCGCCCCGCCCAGCTCTCTGCCCTCTTTCTCTCCTTTCTTAGCCACTGCCTGGGCTCCCTGAAATCTGCACCAGTTCTGCCCCGTGCCAGCTGAGTGCACAGCCGGCCATGGGTGCCTCAGTCCCCCGGGGTCTTCCAGAAACAAACACACAGCCCTGCTTCTAGACGTCTAAGGCTGGAAGTATGATTTTGTTTTTTCTTTGTTGGTCCCGGGGCTTGAACTCAGGGCCTGGGCGCGGTCCCTGACCTTCTTGTGTTCAAGGCGAGCACTCTACCACTTGAGCCACAGCGCAAGTTCTGGCTTTTTCTGAGTGGTTTATTGGAGACAAGTCTCATGGACTTTCCAGCCCAGGCTGGCTTCGAACCTCCATCGTCAGAGCTCAGCCTCCTGAGTAGCTGGGATGACGGGCGTGAGCCGCCAGCGCCCGGCTGGAAGTCTGATTTTCTAGGAGGGCGTTATACTGCTGGCCCATAGCACTCATGGCCCACCACGGTGAGCTGTCTGCTGGGCTTGGGCCCCAGCAAGCTTCCTTCCATCCTCCATCAAGTCTCAGGACCTTTGCACCTGCCAATTCTGCACCTGGAAAGCGCTCTCCAGGCTGTTCAATACCTTCCCAGGGCTTCGTCCAAGCTCCCCCCCCAAGGCCAGTCCACAAAACAGTGCCCTGCCTGTGCTGAGCGGGGTGCAGAGCTCTCAGACCTTCCGTTTGCTCCTAATCTGGATGGAGTGGCCTCCCTTACCAGAATGCAAATCCCAGGAGGTCAGCGGTCCCAAGGGGCGGGCTTTCAGTTAACTAGTTAATCGGTCCCCAATGGATTTCTGGAACACTGGACCTAAGCCGCGCCCATGGTCACGCCCACAGCCATGAGGTGCACGCACTCACCCGCCCCTGCACACACTGCGGTCCCTGGCGCTGACCAGCAGGTGGCACTGTGGCTTCAAGGGAAAAACAACTCAGTTCAAGGGGGAAAAGTTCCAGAGGGCTTGGGCCCAGCCAAGCACCCAACGCGCAGCTCTCCTGGTGAGGCAGAAAAACCTGTCCCTTCCTGGTCTGCAGAGGCAGCAAGAAGAACCAGCGCCGAGTCGCACCAGGCTGGTCTTGACTGGGCTGCGTGCTGGGCTCGGAGCTCAGGATCTACCCCACGCTCCTCACGCCGTACCGTGGAGCTGGGACCTCTCACTCATCCACCTGCTCTCGCCCAAATTTACCTGTGAGTCCTGCAGGCTCATCTGCACAGTACAGACGGGTTCCCTGCCGTCGGCAAGCTCACCCTCAGAAAAACACAACTAACTGCCGCCCCAGGAACCAAGCTGAGGGGAGGGAGAATACTTGGAAAACCAGCCAGGCTTGGCGACTCATGCCTGTAAGCCTAGCTACTTCAAGGCGGAGATCTGGAGGGCTGCAGTTCAAGGCCAGTCCAGGCAGAAAACTCTAAGGTCAACTCCAGTAAACCAGCAAAAAAAAAAACTGGACTAGAAGCATGGCTCAAGTGGTAGAGTACCAGCCATGCACAAGAAAGCCAAACGCAAGCTTGAGGCCTGAGGTCAAGAGCCCTGGTAGAAGCACAAAAAGGAAAAAAGAAAACTCTCCCTCACCAAGCAGACTGCCCAGGAAAGGGGCAAGCCGCCCCATGTGTGCGCGTGTGAGTGCATGCGTGTATGTGTCCTGGGTGGGTTAGGACCCCCATGTGTGCATGTGTGTACATGTGTGTGCGTGCGCATGTGTGTATGTGTTCCTGTGTGCACGCGCGTCCTGGGTGGCTCAGGACCCCCGGGCACCACGCATGGTGGAGGCGAGGCTCAGAGAGGCGCGCCCATTCTCACCATTCAACTCGCAGCCCAGGAGCTCGAAGCGGAGGGTGCAGCCGCGGCGGCAGGCCACGGGAAAGAGGCGCACGAACTGCGTCTCCAGCGGGGTCTTGAACATGTTGATCTTCAGGCTGTCATTGTCCATGTTGCCCTCGAACTCCTGAGGAGAGAGGGGGCTGGGCTGGAGGCGCAGCTCGGGGGCCGAGCGGGCCCCATTCCGGGAGCTTCTTCGGGGCCTTGGAGGCGGACCAGCACCAAGCTCTCCTCCGCTCACCGCCCTGGCCATCACGGGAGCAGCCCAGGCATACACCTCGCAGGGCCACCCCCTTACAACCCCAGAGGGCAGTGCCCATCCGGAAAGGCACGGTGGTCGCCCAAGGACGCGGCCCCCAACACCTGTACTGCCCATGCCTCGTGCGCAGTATGCCGCTCCGAAGACCCAGAACGCAGGCCAGCGCCACCCTGCTCCCAACCTCTCCGGTGTCATCACTAGGCCGAGCCCAGGGCAATCACCCAGATTGCTTCCAGAAACCAGAGAAGCTCGCTTCGTGGCCACCCACCCAGAATGCTTTGCCTCACCGGGGGTCCCTGGGGGGGGCGTTGCTGACCCTGGGACCCTTCTCCAGGCCCCTCACGGACTACCTTGTCTCCAGTCCCCTCTTCATTCTGGATGAACTGGAACCTGCGTCCGTCCAGGCTGTAGGCCACCTTGAAGGCCTTCAGATACTCGGAAGTCCCCGCGCGGCTGGCGCCCTGCGTCACCACGCCGGTCACCCGCATCTTCCGGAGCAGATTCACCTGGACGGGGCGGGGGGGGGGGTGGAATGTGGTCCTCATCTCCTGGGTCCTTCAACCCCAGATGGAGAGGGACAGCCAGAGGGGCAGCTGGACACACTCCCTGGCGGGGGTAACCTCACCCCTCCCTGGGGGCTGCCTCTCTTCCAGGCCTCTCCCTTTGGGTGGGAAAGCACAAGGGGCCAGATCCCATGGGTACAGATGGGAGCCCTCCTCCGCTGAGTGTCCCCTTCTCCTGACGCTCTGCTGTGGTCCCCCCAGGCCCGGAGGCCGCCCCCTCGCCCTGCCCAGGCTGCCTGGGCTCTGCGTACCTGGATCCAGGGTTTCTTGTCGTAGTTGCTGGCGGTCCAGGCGTTGACCAGGCCGCTGCGCCGCAGGCGGGCCAGCTCGGGGCCCCAGCGCTGCAGGCCCAGGAAGCCCAGGTGCACGGAAGAGGCGGAGAGCTGCGCGTCGCCGATGGAGCCCCCCTCCATGCCCAGCGGCGTGGCGCAGGTCGAGGGGGACTGGGCGGCCAGGTGGCCCCCTTGCCGGTTCCAGGGCTCCGCTGGGGACAGAGCAGAGGGGCCTCTGGTGGGGATCCGGGCCAGGGGCCCCCTCCGATCCTCTCTTTGGGAGTGGGGCCCGGCCAGCTGGGCACCGAAGCCCTGATGCAGCAGCAACGCATGCAAAGCGTGTCCGGAGTTGGCGGGCACAGCCTGGGCCAGAGCTGATCCCACCCCGCTCTCCGGGGCCCCTCCCACATCCTCTGCCCTGTCCTCGGCCCACCAGCCACCCGTGACGGCGTGGCGCAGGTGGGCGCACGTCCAATGGGACAAGGGCCCAAGTGTGGGACCAACGGGTGGCTCCGGGGAAATGGAAGTGGCCACAAGCCAGAGGGACTGTGAGCGCCCCGGGCCACGGCCCGCCCCTCAGGCCCTGGCCATCCAGCCTGGCGCGGCCTGGCGGACCCCAGGCCCAGAGCTGGGGAAGAAAGGCCGAGGGGATAATTCCTGCTCAGACCCCCCCCCCAAAATGAGCTTGGTCTACCTGACCCCACCGCACTCCACTAGTCTTGAAACACAGCTTGGCAGACACAGCCCCAGACCCAGCCTCCCTCCACCCAGCCTCCATAAAGCCACAGGTCCACCTTGGGCCAGGGCCGACGCAGCGAGCTGGGGATGAAGAACGTGTGTGTGTGTGTGTGTGTGTGTGTGTGTGTGTGTGTGTGTCGCAGCGAGCTTTGGATGAAGAACGTGTGTGTGTGTGTGTGTGTGTGTGTGTGTGTGTGCCCGTGGGCGCGGGGAAACAGCAGGCCCGCCACCTCGGGGTCACCCGAACCCCACCCTGCCCCGTGACATCAGGCCGGGCCCGCAGTCCCAGGGGAGGCGTGCAGGCAAACGCGGGGTGGAGGGACGGGGGACCCTTCTCCCCACCCTTCTCCCAGTCCCCCCAGGACCCCCTGCGCCCAGCCAGGGTCCCCCCCACCCCCATAAGCACTCACGGGTCTCGCAGTGGGTGCCCGAGTAGCCCCGCGGGCACCGGCACACGTACGAGGTGAACACGTCCCCTCGGAGATCATCCCGGGCCACCTGGCACTCTGCGTCGTGGTGACAGGGGTTCGGGGAGCAGGGACCTGGAGACGAGGAGGAGACGGGCAGGTGAGGGGCGCTCCCCCGTCCCCCAGCCTGCCTGCTGAGGCCACGGCCACGGGAAGTCACTCAGAAGCAAGGGGTCTCCTGGGAAGGGGAGCTGGGGACGGCGGGGATCTGGGAGGCGGCGCAGGCCTGGCCCTGGCAGGGCCCCTACCTGTCTCCGTCTCATTGCAGGTGAGGCCCGTGAAGCCGTCGGGACAGAGGCAGTAGAAGAAAGGGGTGCCCTCGTGGCCGGTCAAGCAGGTCCCGCCGTGCAGGCACAGACTGGGGTCACAGAAGTCCCCTGCAAGGCAGCGCAGACCTGTCAGCACCCCCCCCGCACCCCGCCCGAGAGGCGGCACCCTCACAAGGCGGGAGGCAGCCGGAAGGAGGACGGCCAGCTGGCGGACGACACGGGACCACTGTCGGGAGCCCACAGACCAGAGGACACGGGAGCTGGGTCTAAAAGACAGACTGGGGGCGGGGCCGGGCTGAGGAAGGAGGAACATTCTGGAGAAAAACAGACACATGGGAAGCAGAGCCTATGAGAGAATGGTGGGCTGAGGCCAGGGCAGGGGGCCTCTGGGAAGGACAAGTTCAGAGTGCAAATCCTGCAGACAGGTAGGAGGGATCCACTCAGAGCTCACTACCGGATTCACCCCCTCCGATCATAGCTTTGCTCCTCCCTGGGCCACCCCAGCACAATCAAGAAAACACACACACACACACACACACACACACACACACACACTCCCTGGGTGTGAGTAGGAAGCCTGCCCCATCCTGGGAGGGAAGGGTGAAAAGCTCACCTGCAGAGAAGGGGTGGGGGGGGGCAGGGTGGCCGCCACCCAGCCCCCTAGGGAATGGGGACAGGAGGTCAGGAGGAAGGAGACAAGCAGAACTTGAGAGCCACCTCCAACAGTGGCTAAGGGGGCGGAGGGGGGGGGGAACCAAGGCTTCCAGGTTCTCCAAGGTTTGGAGAACATAGGACAGGCTGTGTGGTGTCATTGCCCTCAAACCCCGTCCCATCCCCGTGCCCAAATAGGAGCCCCCCCCCAGAAGCCCACCTCCCCTCTCCTGCTGGACCCCAGACCCTTGATCTGGGGTTCAACCAGTGAGCAGCAAGCAGCCTTCAGGTGGGCAGGCCCTGAGGAGGGCCCCCCCTGGCTGGTCTTAGCACCCCAGAGCCCACACCAAGGCTGACAGGGGCTGAGACAGGGGCCACATGCTCCCCCCCCACCGCCCACCCCATCACCATCCTGGGCTGGAAGCAGGTCCCCATGTCCCCACGTCCCCATGTCCCTCAGGCAAGCCGCACTAATGAGGATGGGCCGGTAAGATCCCCGCCCCCCTGCCCAGGCCAGGGGCCTGGGGAGCTTAAGGCAGCTCCCAGAGAGCTATTAGTCACTGACTTTAAATAGCAGGTTAATCCCTCCCCCGACCTGGCAGACCTCAGACAGCGCCTAGGCTGAGGCCCAACCAGGGCTCCAGCGCAAAGGCACGCTCTCTCTCCAGGGACAACAAACAGCCCCCAGGGAAAAGGGAAGAGGGAAACTTGTCCTCCATCCCCGGGGCCTGGACAGACTTGGTGGGGGGTGGGGGCCTGGCACAGATGGGGGGCAGGGCATCTGGGAGGGGACAGACCCCAGGCTTCCCAACTCAGCTCAACCCCCCTGCCTCCCCTCCTCCCCTCCAGAATCCGCACTGGGGTTTCAGGGCCTGGTGCAGGCAGAGGGGTGGGGAGGGGGCAGGGCCGTGGACACCCCCGGCATCTTTCCGGGGTGGCCGTGAGGACAGGCAGGCTTCGACTTGAACGGGGTGCAGAGCTGGGTCCTGCTGCGCCCTCTCTGGCGCTGCCCACTGCAGCGAGGCCCAGCTGTCCGCGGGTCCGGACCCTGCCTGGCGGCTCCCCAAGGTCCTACCTGCCCCGGGGCTGCCCCTCGCCGACCCCAGCCCCCCGGCCAGCGCCACGGGGTCAGAGGTGGGGGGAAGCCCCGAATCTTCCAGATGGGGTCCAACGGCCTCATTTCACAGACAGGAAAAGAGAGGTCCGGCCTTTGTGGTGTGTGAGGCTCGTGTGGGTCCCGACCCTGCCCGCAGCGGGGCCTCGCTGTCGCCCCCCTCCCTCCCTCCCCCGCCTCCTCCTCCCCCCCAGGCTGGACGAGAGATGCCCCGCCCCGTGGGATTGGGGGGGTGGGAGGTGCCCGCCCCGTGGGGGGGAGGGGGGAGGCGCCCACCCCGTGGGAGGGAGGGCGGAAGTGCCCGCCCCGTGGGAGGAGCCCGCCCCGTGGGATTGGGAGGGTGGGAGG